TCATCGAGAGCTTTCATTTGAGTACCCACATTCATTTTGATATATTTTTCATATATATATCTATGTAATATATATAAATATATGAAAAATTGATGTGGGTACTCAAATGAAGGGTCTCGATGAGTGTAACATCGGAATGAGCTTATATCTTAAAAAATGTCAATAATTTAGAAATGACCGTGTATCTTGAGAACTATTGACATTTTTTAAGATATAAGCTCATTCCGATGTTACACTCATCGAGTCCTTTCATTTGAGTACCCACATCAATTTTTCATATATTTTATATATTTATATATTCCATAAATACCATATATATATATATATATATATATATAAAAAGCCATGTGAGTACTTGGATGAAAGGTCTCGATGAGTGTAACATCGGAATGAGCTTATATCTTAAAAAATGTCAATAGTTCACAAGATACAAGGTCATTTCTTAATTATTGATATTTTTTAAGATGTAAGCTCATCCCGATATTACACTCATCAAGAGCTTTCATTTGAGTACCCACATGCCCTGGCATATAAATACCCTGGCCACAAAATTTTGCTTATTCTCATAATAATATAGATTATTATTATTATTCTATTATTAATAATGTTGTTGATATTAATTCAGTGCTTACTTTTACTGAATAGCTTATAATACAATTGGTAACTTTAACTACTTGTGATGGTAAATGTAACCATCTCGATAGTAAATGGTACGATCGCTCTATTTTAGGAATTATTATTTATTATTGTATTGATTATAATTTAAATTGTTATATTTATCATTTTAACTTTTATAAAAGTAATTACTATCTAAGATAGTAAAATCTACAAAACAAGTATTGTTAGGGTTAACATAAAATTCTCTCCGTGTACTCATGAATTCATGGACAAGCACGTGGCGAATACTCACATTATAGATACATTTTACTCGTAAGTAGCCACGTTTATTTTTAATATAATTTCAATGTTTTTTTATTTTAAGTGATTTATTATTTCCTAAAATACTGAATTTCCTAAATACTTTCTTGTACTTAAATAAAAACTAATCAGCAAAATTTAAGAGAAAAATCAAGAAAATCTACATAAAATTGAGCACGATTTTTTTTGCAATTTGTGTCGATTCTACATTAGCCGAAGGAACTTCGTTCCTACCTGGTGTCCCACGACACCACATCATTTTTTTATTTTTTCGTTAAATTTAAGCACACTATAAATTCAATCTCGACTTTCCGAACGATCGTGTTTTGTTATTTTTTTTATTTTAGTATTGTTGCATTTCTTATAACTTTCAGACCTTAATTTCATCAAGGATAAAAGACCCCATTAGTAGCGGGGACCCCATTACTGACACTTTCTTTGATTTTGGTACTTATTCAATTAATGAAATCATTAATTTCAATAATGAATATATTATTTCTAATCTTTAGGACCTTTAAATCAAAAAAATTTTTAATTTTTATTCCAAGTAGAACATTTTTTCATTGAAAGAAAAAGTGCCACTAATGGGGTCTTTTACCTTATTTTTCTTAAAAATATTTATAGTCAAGTATTTTCTATTCATAAATCAAATTTTTTATCAATTTCGCGCGCAAACTTTTTTTTTAATAAGAAAAATTTTAAAAAATCTTAAAATTGGGCAGCCGATTATCCTTTCGTTACTCGCGCTTTCTCTAGTGTCGCACTTGTATTCACGCCAACTTTATTAAGTTGAGTACACTGAAAAAAAAATTAAATTGAATCATTAGAAAAATTCTTGAACTAAGAAAATAATTTTGAAGAGTGTCATTGTCTTGAATCAAGACGAAAAATTATTGAATTCAATAAAATTTACTTAAACCAAGAAAAATTTCTTAGTTCAAGAATTTTTATACTTAAAGCGAGAAGATGAAATTCTTCAAAATTATTTACTTGATTCAAGTAAATTTTTTTTTTGTGTAGTGTTGTGCGGGGAATCCCCGTATAGCGCGAGTAATGAAGGATTACATGTATGTTGAAATTTTATTTTTCTACATCTGTGGATTTTTTTTTAATTTACTGTCTTCATTTATCTTGATATAAATTAATGAAAAAAAAAAAAAAAAAAAAAGAATCTTATTTTTGATAAAAATAAGTCAATTCGAATTTTTGTAAACAATTACTAAATTTTAATAAAATGAAGTAAACGTTAATAATCAAAATACGCAATTGCTTTTTTCAGACTACTTGTTGCGCATTTGGGACTACAGTTCGCACTTATGGGATTTATTTGGTGGATTGTAAAAGTAATTCTAGGATCAACATGGACTGCAACTGGGATGGTTGTACCCATAGCATATTTTATATTCAGTCTGCTTTAGAACAAAGAAATAACTTTTCATTTATACTATAAACTCATAATTATTAATTTCATTAAACTTCCATGTATTATTTATAATAGAATTTATTTGCTATAGGCCATAGTTTTTATAAACGGTTTTTCTATAAAATATTAAATCTTTATTTTTATTAAGAAAACAAGCTATAAAAAATAATGATTTAAAAATCTAGTATGAACTTTGTTCGTTGATTCGTTAGCCAAAAATAATGAAACAAAAGATGCATTTTAATATCGGTATTAAGAAAAAATTTCCTTTCAATCAAAGCTAATCTGAAATACTGATTCACAATTTATTGTAACTGCAGGAGTTAATCGATTGTTAATTTTTTAAATTTATTCATGTACTTATAATTGAAAAAAAAAAAATAAACAACTTTCCGCAATAAATTTATATAATAATGAATAAACGGAAAATTTGCAATCAATAATCGTAAATGCACTGATATAAAGTTTGATGATTAATAAAATGAGAAGAAATACATTGTATTTTAATTAATTGGAAGCGTGATAGTAATTATTCAACACTTGCTTGAAATAAAAGAAAAAAAAAATGTGTAACAAATAATTATAAAGTTAGAAATATAAATAAAAAATTTTCTATGGGAAATAAACAGGCTATTTATTATCGTTGTAACATTGAAAGTGAAAAAAAAAAAATTATCATAGATTTAGTAACAATCAAAACGGTTAATTATTATAATTATGATGATGGTGACGTTACAGAAAAGAAAACGGATGAATAAATTGAGTGCGGGCATTTCTAAAAATCACAAGACTCTGTATATTATAATGTGTAGTAATCGAATAACCTTGAGCGACAGACTGTGACACTGGCGCTTATAGGTTTACAGAACTAATAGTCGGATAGGAAGGTGAACAGATTGGGAGATCTGGAGGAGGTATGGTAGGGAAAGATTTAAAGAAACTTTATAAGTAGAAAAAGAAAAATGTGAGTAAATTGCTGTCTGAAACGTGCTACGAAATACACTCATTTACTAAGGGGAATACCGCAACCTCGAGGAATAAAAGAAGGAAGGCTTAAGAATTTCGAGGACTGATATGAGGGACTTGGCTCGTGTCCCATCAACTTAGAACTACCGATCAGTTCTTCTCCAGCTATCATACTAGTGTCTACCAAGTGCTGAAACAGTGTCTTGTTTATACTTTGTTAGACACTTAGTTTATTTTATTTCTAATTATTATAATTTTAATCACAAATAACACCAGGTAAATTTTTTTAAATTATTAATTTTCTATTGGGAAATTTTTATTACCAATCTTATTTGAATCCTTCATCACATCATCATCAATGATCAACTATTATTTTTCATTAACATTAATATTGTGTGTAATTATTTTACTGTGTAATTTATATTATTAAAAAATATGGAAAAGAATTATTAGATTTTTTTTTGTAACAATTTAATTAATTGATATTAATAAATGATAATTTACTTTTTTTATTAATTTAATAACAAAGAAACTGAAGGATTTTTTTTTAGTAATAAATTTTTTCTGATCAATACAATGAAATAAAAAAAATGTTGATGAATAATGATTGTAATATTTTTCTATTGACAGATAAAATGACAATGAAATCGAAACCGACAATTGGTGAGTGGTTCAAAAATCGTCATGTGCTAATTACGGGAGCTACAGGTTTTATGGGTAAAGTACTTGTTTCGAAATTACTGGTGAGTTGCCCGGATGTTGAAAAAATTTATCTACTTGTACGTGAAAAGAAAGGGATTGATCCACAGACTAGATTGCAATCGATTGTTCAGGTAAAGTGAAAACTTTATTATTATACACCGGCGTACTGTGTAATGTGTCCAAGATACATTACATCGTGCGATGGTTCAATGATTACTTACGTTACACGTGTTATTTATTTATTTTTTACTTTACTGCAATTGTAATGCTAACAACTTAATCGCTCTAATGGAGGATGAAAAAATTATTTTACATGCTCATTTCAACCCTGTTTATCTTTGCTTTTATTATTTGTATTTTTAAATTCTATATATGCTCATTTTATATTTCATCACATAAATTACTCATGTCGTGTGCATATATATTTTTCAAATACATCCGAATTCGGTATAGAAATTTTTTTTATGTAATTTTTAAATTTCAGTGGATTGGTCAAGAAATAAATTAAATTTTTTATGAAATTTTACTGCTAGAAAGTATTAGATAATTTTGAAATTTTTTATAAATTGAAATTTTCCTTTTAATTTATCAGAAGTAAATTTCGAACTAAATGGCACGTGCGTGATACGTTCATCAAGCTACCTTGACACCATTGGTCTTCTTACGACTTTCATCAATGGTTAATAAAATCCATTAGTGCATTAATTGTGTTGGATGAAAAATTCAAATTACGGAATATGTTAATAAAATATTTATTTAAATTTTAAAATATTATTTGCATTTAAGACGTAATACTTGGGACTTATCTTGTTTTTCAATAAATTTCTCAAGATTTTGAACGCAAGATAAGCGCTTAATCTATTGTATTGTATTAACACACATTACTCACAGATTTAAACATAACAATAACAATTTTGTGTTTGCGTAATTTGGGATCAAAATTAGATAGCGTAAAAATTAGTTGAAAAAGTTTGTACCATTATTGGTACAGTTTATCGTTTACGAAATTAAATTTGGTTAATTTTTCTTACTTTCCTTTCTCACAATCTTTTATATAATATATAATATAAATTGTATGAATACATAGTGTGTATTCTATAGTCCACCAGGTATTTTTATTATATGCATGTATATATCTATTTATAAAAATCAGTGAGTAAATTAATTTAACAGGTATTTCCGTATGACGTCAAAGAATTACTAGGCAGAAAAAAATAATTATCTTGATACAATTAATTGGTTGATCATCTATTGTTAATATTTTGTTTTATTATTATGAGAAATTTATTTGTTTATTTTATTGTTTTTCGTTTAAATTTCAATGACGAAAACTTTTATTTAATTATTGAAATTAATAATAAAAAAAATTATTAATTTAAAAAAAATTATTTGAAAGTTCACGGTGTTGTTTTTATAAATTTTAGATGTATTATTATAATGATTATTATGGAACAAAAACTTAAAGTTCACAAGAAAAATTTTTCTGTCTTCATGATTTACTTTTTTTTAATTTTTTTTTTTTTTTTTAGCGGATTATGAATAATGATCTTAGAAGTTAATCTTTCTTAGAAAGGAATCTTGTAGTAATTATTAGAGTTTTTAAACTATCTAATTAAAAACTAATACAATATTTCCAAATGCACTGAAAATGAGCAAATTTTTATTTTTAAAAAATGCAAATTATGTAAAGAAGAAATTTTTTTCCTGAATTGCAGATAAGTCAATTATTTTTTATGCTAAATATACCTATTTAATGATTTTTTTATAACTTAATAAAAGTAATAAAAATAAAAAAAAATAATAATGATAATAACGATAACAATAAACCTTGATGAGTTTTTAATACAGTAAATTAACCCACCCAATGTATTCTCAAAAAAACACAAAAATAAATCGGCAAAAAAAAAGTGAACTCGCCTTTCAAAAATGTCGCGTTTCCGTGAATCAACAAGATCCCCAAGGTCCAATCGAATGTCAATGCGTTTCAATAAATTCCACCGACAAAAAATTTTATTAACAAAGTAATAAACAATAATAGTTTTATAAACGCTACTGGAAAGTTAATTACCGAGGCCAGAAAAAAAAAAACATCTTCATGGAGTATCATAATACGCGATTCAAGTTATTGTAATGTAGCCATTAAAGAAAATTATTTACTCACTGATAATTTTATTGATTAATAGCAGTCATGATTATGGTTATGATAATTTCAATGAAATTTAATATTGTAAAATAAATTGCAGCAAGAACCATTCAGACAGTTACGTGAGCACCACCCAGAAAGGTTGAAAAAATTATCAGTGATACCCGGCGATGTAACCATCGAAGGACTCGACTTATCACCGCGCAACAGAGATTGTCTAATACAACAAGTCTCGGTGGTATTTCACGGTGCAGCGAATGTCAAGTTCGACGTACCGCTTAAAGATGCCATCACCATGAATACCAAAGGAACTGCGAATGTTTTAGCGCTAGCAAAACAGGTATTTAGATTTTATTCAAATTTATATTTATATTTTATTTGATGGTGAAATTTTATTATTCATTTACAGCCAATTAAAGTTATTATTACGACTATAACCATAATTAACCATTAGACTTAGAAGTTACAAGTTATTATGAACAATATAAAATTTCTGATTGCATTGTTTTTGTAAAAACCGGTTAGTTATTATAAAATAATGACTAACTCGGGCACTCACTCCGTCAATTTATCCTTGGAAGTTTGATAAAGGAAAGAACTATATATTTTTAAATTATAATAAAACAAAGCTTTAATATAAATTCATCGTTTGTTCCTTTATTATATTTTTATTTTTTATGTTTACGTCTACGATGCAATGAAAAGGAATCGCCTTTGTTGAATAATGAATTTAGTGATGTTTAAATTTAAATAAAAAAATAAATCAGTTGTTTAAATTTTGATTCACAGATGAATAATTTGAAATCGTTTGTCCACATTTCGACGGCTTTCTCACAATGTGGAGAAAAAGTACTCGAAGAGCGCGGGTACCCCACACCTATTTCGCCGGAGAATGTAATGACACTTGTCGACATTGTGGATAACGATCTTCTTGAGGCGTTGACCCCCAAGTTACTAGGAGTTCAGCCTAATACCTACGCCTTCAGCAAATCTTTGGGCGAGGATTTGGTCAACAGATCTGGTCTTCCTGCTGGAATTGCAAGGCCTTCAATTGGTAAATTTTTTATTAGATCTCTCTGAGTATAGGGATTTTTAATATCTTAAAGAGTTAGTTTTAAAAAAAAAATTAGAAAAACAGTTCACCCTAAAGGCCATCCCTGCAACTTCCTGCAAATTCCATACCTGGGCGCTTAAAATTGTACTTATGACATTTTTGAGATTTTTGAGCTCAAAATATAATTTATGTGATATTTTGAGCTCCCTGAGTTCAAAGAGATAAAATTTCTATGCATTTGAGCTCTCCCAGCTCAAAAGTCTGATAGAAGTTTCATAGAACACTATTTTTTGAATTTTCAAACCGCAATAACTTTTAAATGGATTAACTGATTTTCACGCCATTGACGGTATTTGACGCAGTTTTATCATCCTCATAAGTTATTTTCAGGTTTTAATTGATCGAACCGAAAATTCCGAAGTAATCCCGAAAAAGCACTTTTTTCGGTTTTCTTTCGTTCACGATAACTCACGAACGAATCAACCGATTTCTACCGAACTGGTGGCGATCGACGTGGTTTTTTGATGTTAAGAGCTGATTAGTTTTTGGAATTGATCGGTAAACCCGTTTAAAAGTTTTTCCAAAAAAAACCACTTTTCAAAAAATTTTTTTTGTAGTTTTTTTGCGATTTCTCAAAATTTTCGGAAAAACGGGTAAAACCAATAACTTCCTGATTTTTGAAAATCTTCGATTTTCTTAGCGGGAAGTTAAAAATTCATGCGAGAATTTTTTATTTTGGTCTGTTATTTGAATGAGAAAAAAAAAGGTTTTACAAAAATTTTAATTGGTTAGAAATCACGTTGCTTATTTGGGGAAAAAAAAAATTGTGAACATGATTTGAATAAATTTTTTCCTTGTTGATTAAAAAGAAGTTGGGAATTCAAAATTATGCTGGGAAAAAAAAAACTATACCTGAATAAATTACTTGAGCCAAATAAAATAAAAGGATTATTTTGTATAATGGCTAGTCCTGTTGGTTTCAGTTGAATTTTAAAATATAATTTATTATTTTGTATTGTTATTTTAACTCCCTTAGTTCTTTTTATTGTCAGTTTTTAAATAAATTACTTTTGTTCGAAGAAATTTAGTATTTTTAATTATTCTAATTAAAAAAATAAAAAATTTTACAATTGTTTATGATACTGTCATTTACTATAAAATTAAAAGCTAAAATTTAAAATTGCTGCTATTAACGGGAAAAAATAATCTTGATCAAGGAAATCAATTAATAATCAATGCGATGACTCAGTTTAAAATTGATAATAGAATTCTATTATAAATTGTGACTTATGACCTTTTTTTTGTTAATTTGTATCTCAACCTTGCATCTTATTTTCACTAACAATGCCTACAACGTTATAAAACCAGTAGTTATAAAACCAGAAATAGTAAGATGATAAACGTGACCAATACCAAAACAAAATCGGATGAAAAATCAATAATTTATGATGGTTTCAATTGGTATAATAATCTACCAGATGAAATCTGTGACCAAGCTATTATTTACAGCGTTAAACGATTGTTAGTAAAATGTATCAGAGAAAATATTGATGTATAATATAATATATATGTAATTGTATTGATCTGTGATAAACAAATATGTAAATTGAATAGTCAGTGACTAAATGTAAATAAATATTATTGTTACTATTATGATTATTTTAAAACTATGATAGATTAATATTATCAAATATTAATTGACATGTATTTTTTTAGTGATCGCATCTTGGAAAGAACCGGCTCCAGGTTGGATCGAGAGTATGAACGGACCAACAGGACTGATGATCGGCGCAGCAAAGGGTGTAATCCGCAGTGTACTTTGCGACCCGGATCTCCTTATTGACGCGATACCCTGCGACATTGCTGTGAATGCTATAATCGCACTCTCATGGAGAGTAGGTTTGGAGAATCCAGATAAACCGATTTTTGTAAATGTCACCGAAAGCGGCGAGAACCCGATGACTTGGGGACAGGCATTAGAATACGGTCGTAAACACACTCTATCAAATCCATTTTCAGGTAAGTTAAATTGATGATTATTTTAATTTATAACAATAATAATAATTAAAGATATAAGTACATATAATAATTATTATTGTTACCTAATTGCTATGTTTGGAATTCTTTAGGGATTTTGTGGTATCCAAGAGGAGGAATAACCAATAACAAATTAGTACATTGGATTTGTGTATTTTTACTACACTTATTACCGGCTTATTTTATCGACGGTGTTTGTCTCTTAACAGGGAACAAGCCATTTTTAGTTAAGATTCAAAGTAGAGTAAGCTGGGGAATGAGACTAGTTCAATATTACACGATAAAAGCATGGATATTTAGGTAAATTTTCAATTACTGTTTTTAAAATATGCAAATAATTTATTATGAATACTATTATTTATTTATTTATTTATTTAGTAAGTTAACGCCAATCGGCTTAGAGATATCGTAAATTAGTAATGATGGTAATAATAATGGGGGAATTACTGAGTTTATAATAAGTAAAAAGTTATAATAAAAATACAATTAATATTTTGCATTAGTTTGATTTGATTTGCGGCTTCGATTTTAATATTAGAGGGACATCGGACATCATCAATGTTCGACGAGTTGGTTGCAAGATTCTTAGTTGCGCTTGAAAGTTATTATTATTGTTATTATTTATTGAACATACACTAATCGGCAATATATATTTATAATAATTAAAATAATAATAATAATAATAATATATTTTTAGAATAAATACAATTCATTGTTAAGTTAAAAAGTCAAGAATTGATCTGTAGAGAGAAATTAAAAAATAATAGTTAATACGTAAAAAATAAATAGATAATGGTGACATTGTACGTGTATTAGTTAATTATTATGGTGTTTTTGACCTTCGTTATAAAAGATTATTATTTCATTATTATTATTATTATTATTATTTTAACTAAGTCTTAAAACATTTAATTATTTTACATAAAAATGATTAACCCTTAGGTCAAAATAACCTATTGAATTAATTACCATGTTAAAAAGTTAGTCTATTTTAATATGTTTTACATTTAAGTTATGTGAACTTAAAGTCGTTAAAAGTTATTTCAAAGAAGATTTCTGTTGGAATTAGAAATTGAAATCACATGTGTTACGTTTGGCAACGGAAGTGTGTAAAGGGTCAGTTAGACAATCTATTGTAATTGACTTAATTTTTAACTCTTAATTTGAATACTATTGATTATTATACACCTTGACATTAACAAATTCTCAAAAGTGAATCGTTTATTCACATTGCAAACAGTCTCCATTTAATCAAATTGATTTTAGTTTCAAATTAAGCATTTGATATTCATTATAGCAATATTTTGATGAATTTCCATCATCTTAATATGTTCATTCACAATTATTAAGAGTTCATCGACCTAAGTATATCATTATTATTTTTAAAAATCAATCAGCCTGTATTCATACAAACGTTTATTTTATTCGTAATCGCTGGTCATTTAAATTCATGCTGGAGAATCTCTAGATTCGATAACACAACTTTATTTTACTGTAAAAATACCGTTTAACTGAAAACCGTTATTTTCATATCTTTAAAATTTTAATTTTAAATTCATAAAATCCATTAATGACGACTTCTAGAAAAAAAATTTTGTTGCAAAAAAAATTAATCATTGATAAAAAATCAAAGACAATAATTTTTAAACACGAAAATATTTAAGTTTCAAATAAATTTTTGTTATAAAATTTTTTGGAACGAAGTTCCTTACGGCAGGCTTGGAGGGGATAGGGATTTTGCTGCGTGACCGAACTGAAAAAAATGTGATAGTAAAACCGTAAGAAAAATGCGTGGAATAAAACCGTTAAATGAGACGTGCGCAGGCGCGATAGTCGCATACACGGACGAGTAGTGTATAATATCTTTCTCTTTCTCCCTCTTTCTTTTCGTTCTCTCATCCCTTCTCTTTCTATTACCACTCCACCCCGCC